CTAGAGCTAACCAAGGACTTTTGTTCAGTAATTCTGTATTTTTTTTTTCGCAAACGGACATTTTGACTTCCACTATTTACACGGCAGCCGGGCATGTAAGTTGAGACAGACACTTCGAACTTTATGTCGCCGTTGTTAATTTACATGTAACTAAGCTGAAGCTTTTCCTTTTATAAATTTCGATGTCTCTCTGAACTAATAAGCTTATATTTTTATCAATAAACCTTAATCCGCTTAACAGTGATTGGAAGAAAAGCACTGGAATAATTCTGCAAAACTGCAAATCAAGAGCATAAAAATTATAAATAACGACGCATAGACCAAAGTTTGGAGTAAATATTTATTGAGGTAGCAACCGCTATGACCTGTGTACAGACCTAAATTTGAAACCGAATGTAACACAGGCACAACCGCTGTTAAATAAAGAGCCACTAAACCGAATACTTCACTTGTTCTTTCAATACATGAAGGCATTAGCTACTCAAATTTTTCACTAATAACTTATCTTGTTAGTTAATACTATTTTTTTAATCCAATTTAAATGTTGAATTGCATTTTTCCCAATATTGTTCTGATCTTATTGTTCTGATTTTTTATGATCACCTATTTACATGTTTTTGTAAATAACTTATCTAATGTGTTAATAAAATGCTCAAAATACAGCTGACCATCTTGCAAAAGCAGCTCTTACAATCTCCGAGTTATGTTGCCATTGGCAGCTTGATTCGCTTGCGCAGGCAACGCGATTTTCTCAAAATCACCAGCGCATGATGTAGCTACACGAGCGACAAATGCTGTGTCGATAGAAAAATCATAAAGAGGTATATGTACAAAACAGCTCAAATTCGATGTTCAATTTTCATCGTACCCGAAAATCGCGTCGTCTGCGCAAGCGAAAAATCGCTCATGTAGCCGCGGCTTTATCCTCATGTATTTAGTAGCGTTACGGAATGTAATCAATCGAGTATTAAATATAAGCGTGCAGGTTGATAAGGTATGAGAGTTCCCTAGGGTGATTTCCCATGCAGAGTATATATAGTACAGAAGTGTGAAGAATTAGTCATTCGACGGTATCTCGCATAGTATACCGATACTCTGAGAGCAAATTTCGTCATGTCTCAAGAAGCTGATTTACTGGCAAGCGATCCTGAAACTATTTCACCTGCCYTCCCCGACGAACGCGCGGCAAGAGGTCAATCTCAGCGTGATCAAAATGAGTTWGCGGTGGTTGACCGTTTCGTAGAGATAATAGATAGAAAACTAGCCAGCTTCAAACGAAGTTTCGACGAACGTGAACAGGAGCATGCTTCTCAGATGAAAAAGSTCAAAACCGAGTCGAAAGCAACGAATTCTTTTAAATTTAAGGGGAATAAGATACAGTACGAGTTTAACTGCTCAATCCTAGATGGTTTGGAAACGATCAAAAAAGATCTCCTCGRTGGCTGTTTGACAAAAGCAGAGTCAGAGATTGAAAAGCTCAAAACTGCGGCGAAAAAGCGTAACAAGTTAATCCGTTTCGCAGATAAAAGTCCGGCTGGCTGGACTGCCGTAGAGGAGTACGAGAGCGATGAACTGGCTGAASACTCTGAGGACRAGAAAAAGCTCCGGTCTGCTGAAAAAAGAGCACTAACGAAGCTCAAGTCAAAGAAACAGCCAAACAAAACAGCGTCCAAGCCCTTTCGTCAGCAATCGACACAAGACTACGCCAGGCAAACAGCAAACATCCAAGGCTACCCTCGTCAAGCCCAGCMATTTCGYTCCTTCATTCGTAACAGACGCCAACCAGCACCAAAYGACAAGTGTTTTGCATGTGGACAAACAGGCCACTGGGCCGGCGATTCSGTCTGTCCAAACAAATACAGGACCGATAYCCGCCGCAGCTATGGAGCCTCAAGTACATCSTCCAGTGGAAGCACGGCATAAAAAGGCATCAGAAAGGTTAGCAAAAGATAACAATTTAGTTGAATCTTATGTTTCGTATGATGATGATCATGAGGATACACTAATACAGGACAGTCCTGTAGATTATTTAGAAAATTCAATACCTGTCAAAGTGAAGGGCCGGCTGCGGTCCCATATTAATTTCTGGCAATCGAAGGGTGGGCACGAATAAATGAGATGTCCACCACCTATGATATGTTGTCCTGTGGTTATTGTGAGAATGAAGTTTAGCTATTAAATATTTTATACTCGTTCAGAAGGATAAGAGTATAAGTCGAGAAAATCCAATACGCAGAGCCAGTACTTCTGCCATCCAGAGGGAACTGATCAGAGATACAGTCCGGCGTCGGTAGACCGCTGAAATTTATCTGTAATGACTATGGGCTCGAGATTGTTTGCAAAAAACACTGTAGCGCGCCACAAAGTTTATAGCTGAGACAATGTTTCTCAGTTTAGTCACCTCGGACGGCACTACATTCGCTACATACATATACCCTAGTTAAGCCTGGCCTCGATAGGCGATTTACTGATGATTTACAGTTGTTTAAAGTTCAACATCAGCATGTCTCTTCATCAAATATGGAGTCTGTTCGTACTGTTCGAGATCCTTTTGTTTCATTTTTGTGATCATTGCATGATGATGGTGGTGAGGGTAATGATGTGGAGAGTTTATCTTTTCCTGGGTAACCTCACCAAAATACTTATCAAGTCGCCGGCAAATTCGACCAACTTCTCTCCGAAACTTCTGATGTCGAAAAGCATACACAAAAGGGTTGATTAARGAGCCTATCCCTAGTAACGTAACTGGAAGCCAACTCCCCATTATGATGAAACCTTGAAGGTTAGCAAAGGTCGACGCAACGTCGAATAAAACGTATTCGAACCGGTACACGTAGACTAAGAAGAGTACAGTAGGGACAACGAAGAACAAAAAGTTCGTTCCAACTACAAGGGATAGTCTTTTAGCAAGTCGAGCTTCCCTTCTGATCGCCAAGTGCGCTGTTGATTTACAGAATACGAAGTACATGTATAAATACATCGCAACACTTGTGACGTAAACCATGACGAAACCAATGACGATGACTAGAGTCACTAGTGACGTGTCATCGATGACCGAACTCTTGTGGAATGGCATAGTGCATTGAAACCACTTATGGTATTGTAGGTCCTTTACCCCGAAAACTGGGAGAAGCGAGTATAGGATGCCAACCAACCAAATGATTAGTGATATTAACACAGGGTAACGTAAGTCCAGCTTTTGCCTTGGTCGTATGCAACGGATGATAGCGAGGTAGCGCTCGACAGTCAAAAATAATGACGTAAATACAGCGGTTGTCTGTCCTGTAGTGAAAACGAACCCCAAATAAGGGCACGCCTCATTGTCATTGCTCATAAGCTCTGTTGGTGTGACATTAGAGGCTTTGAATGGGTTAAAAACAGCTATTCCCATTGTATAAATACCAACAAACAGGTCACTTAGAGACATACTACATATCAAAATAAAAGAAGCGTTGCAACGAAGAGATTGCGACAACATCACTACAAATATAATTACAAGATTAAGAACTAATACAGCAGCTCCCAACGCATACTGAAAGTAAAACAACTTCTTTGGAGTGGAATAAAGCTGCTTGAAGTAAGGTTGGTCTATCTCGTCGACTTGACAACGAGGTGAGGTACACAGACACTGAGGAGAGTAGCCATKCTGGACAAAGTCGTACGCGCGGCGGTACGTCACTTCCTTGTGATGAGGAAAAAACACGTCTAATGTCACGTGACAGGTATCCATGGTGACATTGTTTGTTGTGCTGTTGTTTATATTGTTTTTGATCAGCGTGCATTCGCTGCAGGAGGAACTTAACGTGACGTCACGTATTTCTGTGAGACTTTGAAGTTGAAGGATGTCAAGATCAGGTAACCATCTCTTGTTCCCTGCCATGTAGATTATTTTTAGCGATGGCAAGACTTTCGAGGAAAATATCCTCCATGTCCTTATGTCATTGTATCGTAAGTCGCTGAAAACAAAGAAAACAAAATTAGCAAATGCAATGGCCAAAGTTCATAAATGAAAATGTTCCGAATTGCGCTCAAACAATTAACTAAATGACACATATAAACTTACAGCTCTGTCAGTTTGTCAAGAGTCTTTAAAGTACCACGATCAATAGATCGAATGCTGTTATTTCTAAGGTTTCTACAAACAAATGAGGATAACATCAGATTATAATATTATATGATGAATAACTGWATAACTGCGGTGAATAAATGTGTAATGAATTTATATGATATTATATCAAATTTTCAAATATTTTTTACAGTCAAATTCGGTAAATCTTTGACTTTTCACATTCTCGCTTGATTTCGAATAGCCCGTTTAACGGTGCAATTGTCTATATTGCTATATTGAGTTCATATACAGCCTTTTGCACAAATTATGAGACA